AGTGAGGGAGGGAGAGAAAGAAAGAGAGAGACAGAGAGAGAGAAAGAGAGGGAGGGAGGGAGGGGGAAGGGAGGAAGAAAGAGAAAGAGCACAGAGTATGGCTATTGACATAATTCTTCCTTCTCATTCATTCATTTAAAAAATCTGTTTGGACTCATGTTATTAATATTATTTTTTGAGTTGCCGTCTCACTCGGTTGCCCAGACTGGAGTGCAGTGGCCGCTCCTGGCCACCGCAGCCTCGATCTGCTGGGCTCCAGCAATCCTTCCGCCTCAGCCTTCCCAGTAGCCGGAATTACAGGCATGCGCTACCACGCCCGGCTGATTTTTTGATTTATTGTAGAGATGAGGTCTCGCTGCCCAGGTGGGTCTTGAACCCGCGGGCTCAGGCAATCTACTCACCTCAGCCTCCCAAAGGCACAGGATTACAGGCTGAGCCACCGAACCTGGCAGATTTTTTTATTTATTGTAGAGATGAGGTGTTGCCAAGTTGTCTAGGTGGGTCTGGAGCCCCTGGGTTTAGTCATTCCACTTACCTCTACCTCCCAAAGTGCTGGAACCACAGGCATGAACCACAATGCCCAGCCTGGGTTCTAGTGTCTTTTTTTTTTCTTGAGTCGGAGTCTCACTATGTTGCCCAGGCATGCTCATGGCCACTGCAGCCTCAGCCTGCTGGGCTCAGGCGATCCTTCTGCCTCAGCATTCCAAGTAGCTGGACCCACAGGTGCATGCCACCATGCCTAGCTGATTTTTTGATTTATTGTAGAGATGACGTCTCGTTAAGTTGCCCAGACTGGTTTCCAAACCCTGCATTCAGGCAATCCTTTTGCCTCCACCTTTCAAAGTACTGGGATTACAGGTGTGAGTCACCATGCCCAGTTGTGTCCTAATATCTTAACCGGTTACGTGCCTATGGTTTATCTAGCCAGGCAAGAAGTAAGAATAACTATAAGTTGGTTTATATTGTTGCCATCTCTTACCTATATTCCATGCCAGCAACTTCGAAAGGCATGAAAAGTGGTAGACAGCAGCTTTAGGCAGGCAAGCCAGGTTGTGTAATGGCATGGCACAGGCTTGTAGAGTCTGATCAGTTGTGATCAGTGTATTATAGCTTATGGTGAGAAACTTGAGTTTCTAGTTTCGTCTCAAAAAGAATGTGAACTCAAAAGTGGCCTTTTAACACAACAAATGCTTAAATTTGTAAATTGAATACTTAGATCTAGAGGACCAAGTGCAACCTGATCAAAGTTTTTATCTTAAATTCAACAAGCTTGCCCATGTGAATAAGTAAGTTGTCTATATCATTGTACTGTGGTTGCCACATGGTGTGGTGCTTCTGAATATAATTGTACTACATTGAATGATTCACTTTAATTCTGGTAAAATTATAAAAATAGTCGATGTAAAAGATGATGTTCAACACTGTTTTCCTTATGTATATGAATCTTGTTTGAGTCATATTCAATACTGCTATGGGAATTAACATTGTCACCAGTAAAAATGTACTCTGGCCCACAGTCGTTGAAAGCTTGTCTACTTTCTTACAAGCATGACTACACCCACAGAATGTAGTAAGTAGGGGAATATTTTTGTCAGAATGAATTAAGTTTAAAATTTAAGGCAATGTAATTCAAAGAGGGAAACATCTAAACTTTGCCCATTTGGTCTTCCTAACATTTTTTTTTTTTGAGTTGGAGTTTCACTCGGTCGCCCAGACTGGAGTGCAGTGGCTGCTCCCGGCCACCGCAGCCTCGCCTGCTGGACTCTGGCAATCCTTCCGCCTCAGCCTTCCGGGTAACCGGAATTACAGGCGTGCGCTGCCACGCCCAGCTGATTTTTTGATTTCTTGTAGAGATGAGCCTGCCCAGGCGGGTCTCGAACCCGCGGGCTCAGGCAGTCCACTCACCTCAGCCTCCCAAAGGCGCGGGATTACAGGCTGAGCCACCGAGCCCGGCCTTTCTAACATTTAATGTGTTAGCTTGGCAAATATTTATTGCATAAACAAAAAATACGTGATTGAAATGATGTCTCTTTCAACTTATTTTGCATTTTGTGCTCTTTTGCTTTTTCTGGTTTTTTTTTTTTTTTTTTTTTTTTTTTTTAGTTGGAGTCTCATTCTGTTGCCAAGGCTGGAGAGTAGTGGCTCTTTTCATGGCCACCACAGTCTCCACATGCTGGGCTTAGGCGATCCTTCTATCTCAGCCTTCCAAGTAACTGGAACTACAGGCACACGCTGCCACGCCTGGCTCATTTTTTTAAACTTATTATAGAGATGAGGTCTTGCTAAGTTACCCGAGTTGATCTTGAGCCCATAGGCTCAGGCAATCCTCTCACCTCTGCCTCCCAAAGTGCTGGGATTATAGGTGTGAGCCACCGCGCCCGACTTGTTTTTTCACAGTACCTTAATGATGACTTTGAATCAACATGGGTATTAAAACAATCATAAATTCAATTTAGGGTGACATTAATAATATGACCGGTCTCCATCTTATTTTAAGTGGCTATATTTCATATAGTTTGTAATTGTTTTAATAAAATTTAATACAGGTTAGAGTCACAGTGGTGCATTTTTACACAAACATGAGGAATTTGGTGTATAAAAACTATTAGTTTGGGATTGGTGATAAAACTAGGAATCAAAGCTATTAATTAAGATGTGTGACTGTCATGCTAAAACTGTGCAGAGATGAAAAGATCTGTTACTTACCTCTGCCTCTTGGGCTCTTTTTTTTTTTTCTCGTGATCATTCCCAGAAGCTATAGAGTAGTGGTTTCTGGTGAGTTAAGCAGGAATGACTTGATTAGTTTGGTAGTAAAATGAGAGGCTAGGGTTGACCATAATACATAAATGTTAGTGGGTTTGTGTAGTTCTCAAAATGCTAAATTCAAGTATTGAAAAGTTTGTCCAAGTTAAGTGAGGATGTTTAAAGTAGATTAAATATTTTTTTTGTTTAACTTTTCAGCCAAACCAAACAGGAAGCTTACTTTTCTCTACCTAGCCAATGATGTCATACAGAACAGCAAAAGAAAGGGGCCGGAATTTACAAAAGATTTTGCACCAGTTATAGTGGAGGCTTTTAAGCATGTTTCAAGGTATGATGATTGTTTTGGGTATTAGGTAATCGTAAATGTACCATATGTCCTTGTGCTGAAATTTGCCTTAGGCCATTAAAATAAAAAGTATGAAACATATTTTTTAAAAGCTTCTCATTTAAAAGATTTACTTCTAAATGTCATTTGTAAATGTTTTAAATGCTTGTAAATGTTTTAAAGGGAAAAAAATTGAATTGTTGCTCAAGTAGGTGTCTGAAGTGCTTGAATGACAGATTTCTTTAAGAGACCAAAACCAACTACTGTATTAGAATGAACTTCATTAAGAGTAAAAGAAGGCATTGAATTAAAAATTTGTGCTTATAAAGCTATCAGTTTATAGCTAATATTTCTGTATACAATTAGTACTCTCCCTAGTCTTTATGTGCTCTCTTGAGTGATTTTGTGCACTGCGTGTGCTTAGTTATTATCTGCACCTTAATGATTTACAGTCATTAAATACTCAAGCAAGAAATGAGGTGTCATCTTTAAGTCTTCTTTCTCCTTTACTCTTCACTTTCCATATAGTACACATTCACTAAGTTCTTTGGATTTATTTTACTTCCAGTTACTGTAATATCTTTTCTGTATACTTGAAATAGCTTCTGGTTTCGTTTAATCCTCTTAGGAAATTGCTGACAGAGTTGTGGGACTGATCATAAACTTCTGGGCCTCTGAGTGGTTCCCCTTTGTTTTAGAGATAAGTCTAAGTCCTGAACAAGACTTAAGATGCCCCTTCATGGTGCTGCCTACCTCTCCAGACTCCTGTCTCATTTATTCCACAGTCTGAATTCCAGTCTGTAGTTTAAGCTGAAGGAACATTTTTTAGTTCTTTCTTCTTTAAGGCTTGTATGTATACTGCCTCTCCTTAGAATTCAATAAAATATTTATTGACTGCCTACTATGTGCGAGTTCTTGAGTAGTGATGAACAAGACAAAGCTCTCTTCTACTGGAGTGTACGTTTCAGTGAATGAAAAGGCAATAATTAGGCAAGTGAATGCACATATATTATAATGTCAGATGACAAACGCTGTGAAGAGACATAAATCAGGGAAGGAACTAGGGGATATGAGGGTGCTCAGTTATATGATAAGAAAGAGCAATTGTTTTGGGGAAGTGGCGTTTTGACACAGGCAGGGAAATACGGAGTATGTTTTGGTAACTTCACCCTTGAACTGCTGGCACATAGTGTTGCTCAGTAAACATTTGGATGGTTTTTATTTTCCAAGGAATTAATGCCCTATTATATTAAAAAACATTACATTTTTCAGTAGCACTATGCATTTTTACTGTTAATATTTTTTATTTTCTTTAGTGAAACTGATGAAAGTTGTAAGAAGCACCTTGGGAGAGTGTTATCTATTTGGGAAGAAAGGTCTGTTTATGAAAATGATGTATTAGAACAACTTAAACAGGCTCTGTGTAAGTATAGCATCTTGATCTCTTACCATGATCTCTTCATTAAAATGTATTATCATTAAAACTTAAATGTTCTTTTACTCCAGATGGCGATAAGAAGCCCAGAAAGCGAACTTACGAACAGATAAAGGTGGATGAAAATGAAAACTGTTCCTCTCTGGGATCTCCAAGTGAACCACCACAGGTAGTTTTTCCCTCTTAAGAGATTTATGTTAACTTTTCTACATGTGGCCACCAAACATTATTAATTTCAATGTTTTACTTCTGTAAATTGATTTTTTTTTGTAATAACTTTGGGTACAAGAGAGAAGCTACAGAATATCTTTTATTTTCTAGTTAACAAATTGCTTATGTTTAATGTGTGCTGTATGTTTTGCATAGAAACCACATTTTGCATAGTGATAGGATTTTGAATTGCTAACAAGTATGTTAGGTGTGGTCAAATTTCAACTATTTAAACAGATTCTTTTAAAAGTAAGATATTATACAAGGGGTACCCCCCAAAACCCAGAATTTATTTATAAAGATTCTCCCACCTGATAATCCCAGCACTTTGGGAGGTCGAGGTGAGAGGATTGCCTGAGCCCAGGGGTTCAAGAACAGCCTGGGCTCCTTGACAAGACCTTGTCTCTACAAGAAGTCAGAAAATTAGCTGGATGTGGTTGTGTGTGCCTATAGTTCCAGCTACTTTGAAGGCTAAGGTGGAAGGTTGCATGAGCTTAGCAGGTCAAGGCTGTGGTGACCGTAAGCATGCCACTGTACTCCAGGCTGGGTGATAGAGTGAGACTCCAACTAAAAGGAGTTAGATTGACAAGTTATGTATTTTTACTGTTCTGTTTAACTGTACAGAACTGTGCAGTTCTGTGGAAAATAAAATAAGCTCAGATTATTGTCCTAATACCCCATGTCCTCCCAGGTTGGTATAAGTACAGTGTTCCTTAACCATCAGATGAATTCTAGAAAGACATTTCGACCTTTTTTTTAGGTAGACATTGAGTCTGTAAGCGCTGTCCTTCTATGTTTCAAACGTACAGGAGGGACAGATAAAACTTAAAAAGGAAAAGTTAATATTTAGCCATACTCTTAAAACAAGGCAAATAAGCAGGACGTGGTGGCTCATGCCTGTAATCCTAATTCTCTGGTAGGTAGAGGTGAGAAAACTGCTGAGCCCAGGGGTTTAAGACCAGCCTGGGCAACTTGGTGAGACCTTGTCTCTACAATAAATTTAAAAAATTAAACAGGCTTGGTGGCACATGCCTATAGTTCCAGTACTTGAAAGACTGAGGCAGAAGGATCGCCTGAGCCTAGTAGGTCAAGGCTGCGGTGGCAGAGAGCGTGCCACTGCACTCCAACCTGTGTAACAGAGTGAGCGCTAAATTAAAAAAAAAAAACCAAGGCAAATATATCTTTTTTTTTTTTTTTTTTTGAGTTGAAGTCTCACTCTGTCGCCCAGACTGGAGTGCAGTGGCTGCTCACAGCCACCGCAGCCTCGACCTGCTGGGCTCCAGCAATCCTTCTGCCTCAGCCTTCCAAGTAGCTGGAACTACAGGTGTGCGCTACCATGCCCAGCTAATTTTTTATTTATTGCCAAGTTGCCCAGACGAGTCTCGAACCCGCGGGCTCAGGCAGTCCACTCACCTCAGCCTCCCAAAGGCACGGGATTACAGGCTGAGCTACCAAACCTGGCTGGCAAATTATCTTTATAGGCTAGAAATTGTGCAGAATCACAACTCTGTATGTGACACAGAGCCTGGTTCCTGTTGAGCTCTGGTCCAGAAGCAGACATGGGTTGCCAGAAAATGAGTATTCTCTAGGGCAACAAGAACTCACAATATTCCATGAGAGTTAGAGGACTGGGTCTAAGCTCACTGCATAAAATCAGATGCTGGGTGGGACTCTTTTCCCCATGAAAGGAACTTTATAAAAAGATAGGGTCCATTACTGCCTTGATTTATATCTGTCTTAGAGGTAGGGAGGGAGAAAGAATCAAACCAAGGCTCTTAGCCAGACCCTGAGCCAACCTACCTGTTGATTCAATGACAAGAATTGCTGAAGTCAACTTGCTGCCTTGGACAAGAGCTTGAATACATAAGTAATAAGAACATAGTATCTGGAACAACCAAACACTAAGATTTATGTCTCTTCCTATTTGGCAGTGACTCATGGCAGAAAGTTACTCTGGCCTCATTAGGAGTCCATGAATAGTGTTTTCTGAGTGCTAGATAAAGGTTCTGACCTTCTTCCACACTCCCTGATGTAAGTGTAACCACAAGTTGCATATCTCAGGAGTATGTTTGAGTAACCGTCTCTTCTCTAATACTTATATACAGTGCTGTTGCTGTTTGTTTTATAATCAGTGTTTTTCAGATTAGTTGTGCTGCTTAATTCTCAATGGTTCAACTTCACAGTCTTCATTTTATTCATATCATTCATTCCTTGTTAGAATGGCTAAAATCTTTTTGCAGGATTCAGTTAAACTCATTTTATTCTCCTTTATAGGGAGTGTTTAGTAGGGAGTCCTAGGCTAGTGTTGTTTTGCATAACTTTCCTTTCTTATCTGATCCTTGATCTGGAACTGGGAACTTAGAGTGAACTCATGTAGGAATGTGAAGATGTGATGAGAACAGGTTGTAGTTAAAGCATGCCTGCATTGTCTGGATTATAAAGCCAAATTTTAGAAATCCAGAAAAGTTTAGAACTTAATAAGATTGAATAAAAAATAATATTTTATATCAGTTATTTGGGGTACCATGATAAATAAACTTTCTGGTAATTGTTGTTACTGTTAAGTTTACTTTCACTGTAGAGGGAGATAAATATTATAACAATGTTTTTTTTTTTTTTTTGAGTTGGAGTCTCACTCTGTCGCCCAGACTGGAGTGCAGTGGCCACTCCCAGCCACCGCAGCCTCGACCTGCTGGGCTCCGGCGATCCTTCCACCTCAGCCTTCCAAGTAGCTGGAACTACAGGCACGTGCTACCATGCCCGGCTAATTTTTGATTTATTGTAGAGATGAGGTCTTGCCAAGTTGCCCGGGCGGGTCTCGAACCCACGGGCTCAGACAATCCACTCACCTCAGCCTCCCAAAGGTACAGGATTACAGGCTGAGCCACCAAGCCTGGCTACAATTATTTTTAAAATACTGAAATTTAAAAAATATTTCTAGGTTATGTGCAGTGGCTCATGCCTGTAATCCCAGCACTTTGGGAGGTTGAGGTGAGAGGATTGCCTGAGCCCACGGGTTCAAGACCAACCTGGGCAACTTGGCGAGACCTCATCTCTACAATAAATAATAAAAAAATTAGTCAGGCGTGGTGGTGCATGCCTGTAGGCTAGGCAGAAGGCTGAGGCAGAAGGATCACCTGAGCCCAGCAGGTCAAGGATGTGGTGGCCGTGAGCATGCCACTGCACTCCAGCCTGGGTGACAGAGTGAGATTCCAACGCAAAGGGAAAAAAAAAAATATATATATATATATATATATTTCTAATGAATAAAAAGCACACCTGGGATGGTATATTTCTTATTAGTTTCATTAATTTATAACACATTTGATCATTTGCTGTGTATTAGATCCCAATGATAGCATTGTTGATAAGGGAATAACTTAAAAATTAGTAACTGGCTGTCAGTGCCATCTTTATATATATATATATGGAATTACTAATATCCTGTATTTTTAAAATATATGTGTAGTTTCCTAGTGTCTCTGAATTTAGTCTTAGATAAGTCTTAAAAAAGATAAACTAAATGAGATGGAGACTAGTAAAAAGAAAAATTAATTGCTTTTCTTTGGAATAACTTTATAGATGTTATGAATTGTGAAATCACTGGCAGAGTTGCCCTTTTCTCCTAATTGTAGCCACTTTGAAAGCAGTGGAACTAAAATATTCTAATGATAAGATAATTTGTATAGTGGTTAAGCAATATTTAATATTAGTCATCAGATTGCAGAATTTTGAATTATTAATCTTATTAACAAGCCATAGGGTAGGTGAAGATAGCATATTCCAAAACTACATTTCTCTTGTGTTTTCATTACAGCATTTAGAAATGGGATCTGGGAAACTTTTCTGTGTTGTAGTAGAAGATGATTTGTATACCTCTTCCCCCAATATCCAATTTAATGTATAAAAGATCTTCTCATGTGCAGTGACACTGTAATAACTATATCATAAAACTTGTTCTCTAGGTTGAAGTTATAACCTGCTACCCTTTTACCACAGATGTATTTGTCATATAAATCAGTTGCTTACCTCATTTTAATACTCATATAATTATTTTTACACTGTCTGTCTCCACCACTGGCATGAGCTTTTCAAGGTCTAGTGTCTTGATTACATTTTCTTCTTTTTTCTTTTTTTTTTTTTTGAGTTGAACTCTCACTCTGGATTTTTGAGTTGGATCTCACCCAGGCTGGAGTGCAGTGGCACGCTCCCGGCCATCGTAGCCTCAACCTGCTGGGCTCCAGAGATCTTTCCGCCTCAGCCTTCCAAGTAGCTGGAACTACAGCTGCATGTTACCCTGCCCAGCTAAATTTTTTTTTGTTTTATTGTAGAGATGAGGTCTCACAAAGTTGTCTAGGTGGGTCCCGAACCTGCGAGCTCAACCAGTCCACTCGCCTTGGCATCTCAGAGTGCTGGGTTTACAGACTGAGCCACCGAACTTGGCCTTCCTTTTTCTTTTGAGTTGGAGTCTCACTCTGTCGCCCAGGCTGGAGTGCAGTGACTCGCTCATGGCCACCGCAACCTCGACCTGCTGGCCTCAGGCGATCCTTCTGCCTCAGCCTTCCAAGTAGCTGGAACCACAGACGTGTGCCACCTTGCCTGGCTAATTATTTGATTTTATTGTAGAGATGAGATCTCATCAAGTTGCCCCAGGCTGGTCTCGAACCCCTGGGTTCAGGCAATTATCTCATCTCTGTCTCCCGAAGTGCTGGGATTACAGTCATGAGCCACCATGCCTGGTGGGTTGGTTACATTTTCAACACCTCATATTTTCTTGGTATGAAAAAGAAATAGACTGCCTTCAAAAGCAGTGTATATTGGAAATGTTGAATTAGTAAATAGCCCACAAGGATTAAAGAATATTAAATAAATTTCAACTCATTTGAATTTTCTAAACTTCATTTAATTTGGTTCTGAAGTTGTGTACTTTTTAGACTCTAGATCTCGTTAGAGCATTACAAGATCTAGAAAATGCAGCTTCAGGTGATGCAGCAGTTCATCAGAGGATAGCTTCTTTGCCTGTTGAAGTCCAAGAAGTGTCCCTACTAGATAAAATAACAGGTAAGAAAACCAAACATGATCCAGAACTTTTTTTGGGAGTTGAGATGAGGGAACAACATATATCATTGTTTTTGTTGTGTAATATTTTGTTATCCTGTGCTTTTCTTAGATAAAGAATCTGGAGAAAGGCTTTCTAAAATGGTAGAGGATGCTTGTATGTTGCTGGCAGATTACAATGGCAGATTGGCGGCAGAAATAGATGATAGGAAGCAACTCACTCGAATGTTAGCAGATTTTCTTCGTTGTCAAAAGGAAGCCCTTGCAGAGAAAGAGCATAAATTGGAAGTGCGTATAACCTTTTCCTTCTTTAGTGCTTATTTAATTTACTTTTGGTAGAAATTTTAAAATATTTTAATGTACCATTGCCCAGGTAAGCTGCTTCTGACATTAATAGCTTTTCTTCTACTTGAACCAAATCAACCTGCCTAAACTTTGAAATGAGCAGAACTGGTTGCATTTTAAAATTATTTGTATGAAATTTCATGCAACTGTAATTTATCTTAGCAGTTTAAACCCTTATCTTTAAACACAAAAATAATTGGAAAATAACAGTTGTTATAAAGTCTGTTGTTAACTGCAGTCAATTTTTGTTGGATCTGTTGACTTTCTGTTTTGAGTACATGCAGTCTTTTAGGTACACCTAAAAGGTCTTCAAATTACTCCTTATTCCACCCCTGATTCTGATGCTTAACATATTCCCACCCCCATCCCTGGCTCAACCCTTAGACAGAAATTTGTTGATTCTGTAAATTAAGTAATGAGTGATACTGTTGATGAGAAACCTGGGGTGAAGGAGGTAATAAGAAGAAACATGCTCATATTTCCTTTGATTAGAGTAGCTGTTATTAGGGGTAGAAGAGCCAGGTTTAGTTTTATTTAAAAGAGTCTTTTAGTTGACCAATTCTTGTTTAAATTGTTTCCTGCTGTACAGTCCCTTATTCTAATAGTAAGTAGGAGGATTTCTAACTTATCTGGATCCCTTTATTTGCAGTTTCCTGTGAATGTGTAGGTATGTTAAGTTGCTTTTATTGATGAGTGCTTAGTTCTTGGTTCAGCAGTCTCTAATTGTGACAGAAATGGTGCCTGAGTTAGACTGCCAGTGCTACCTGCGAGAGTAGCTGCTGGATTAGTCCCACCCTGAATTCCCAGCTCTCAGTTCAGCACTGCCCCTTTTCCATTTGCTCCTCCTCTGCTTACATAAACACCCTCACGATTATTGTAGGCACTGTGCTCTACCTAAGAGGTTGCCCACTTTTACATGAAAAGGAAAAGATGGATTTTTTAAAAAAGGATTAATTTGCTGGCTTGCCAGTATTTGATGTTGTAATGAAACTTCAATCTTAAAAATATTGTTACTGGTTTTATTTTCCACAGAGTTAAGGGTAAGTAATGTCATACGGTTTTTGTCTTTAGTCTTTTAGTATGGTTTCTTTAACTTCTATTGAGCTTCTGTTGCAGATATTGGACATGGGCGTATCTTCTAATGATGTCATCACCATTAGCATATTTTTCCTGCTAAAAATAAATATCAAACTCCAAAGCTTGTATTGTCTCATGTTTTTGAAAATTGAAGAGAAGACTGAAATTTTATACTTTCTCACTTAGGGTGATGATCATTTATCACTGTTTACGAAAATAGAATTTATATGTGAAGTGTAATTGTAGAAAATAGATCAGATGCCACTCCCTACAACCCCATTTCCTCAGTGCTTTACAGCCAGATTTCATACTTGATCATCAAAGATGATGAGGCTGATGATAATAATAATGTTAACATTTGCCATGTGTCAGGTACTATTCTAGGCACTTCACATAATCACCTCATTTAATTTTTTGCAGCAGGATCATGTCATTATCCACATTGTACAAGATACGGAACTGAGGCTCAGGGAGATTAAATAACTTGCCCAAGGTCACAAAGAGCTGGTGAGTTGTTTAGAACCCAGGAAATCTGCCTTGGCAGTACACTTCCTCAAAAAGACAAATTTGCTTCCTATTTAAGTAAAAATAATTGAAGATTACAGCAAATGCTGAAGTTCTATTTCTCTATCATTTGTTTTTCCTTTCTCTCAGAAGAAACTATTGAAATAAAATATTCTAGGAACTTATTTTTTTGTTGTTCTACATAATGGATTTTATTGTATTATAAAGATGCTGCCTCAATTAGGTCTAACATTTTTTTACAAGTAAAGAAATACTGTTTATAAGTATAGAAATAAACATGGAAATTATTCCAAAGAATTCTTACCCCTTAGAACTCAGTGATTCCTTTGTCATAGAATGTGAAAATGATTTGAGATATTTAGACTTGTTTGTACCAAGTAAGTGGCATCACTTTGAAGTTGAGACCGAGAGGTGAAGATTTCTATTTCTAGATCAGCTATGATACTATCAGCTCATTTTTCGTTTTCATGCCCCTTTGAACTTGTTAGCTGGGCTTGAGCAGGTGTTGATGTGTCATTAGTTGCTTTTTTTTTTTTTAATGAAACATCAATTTAAAGTGTCAGTTCAGGAATTGACTATTTCATGCTTCCTAAGGAAGCCACTATTAGAGCATTTAGAATTAATGAAAACATGAAATGAATTTTAAAATTTTGGAAATTATGAATCATTATTTTTAAAACTTTTTGTTGTTGTTGTTTTTTGAATGGGATTCTCAAGCTGTCACCCAGGCTGGAGTGCAGTGGCACACTCACAGCCACCACAGCCTCGACCTGCTGGGCTCAGATGATCCTTCCGCCTCAGCCTTCCAAGAAGCTGGAACCATAGGCACTCACCACCATGCCTGGCTAAATTTTTTGACTGTAGAGACGAAGACTCACCGTTACCCAGGCTGGTCTCGAACCCCTAGGCCACCACACCTGACCTGTTGCTAAGCTTTGAATACTTTTTCATGATACAATTGATGTAAGGAAACATGCTTTTACAGAGTACCTGTTTACTCATTGAGTTATTTTAAATTTCTAGACTTTAGAGAAAACTCATTTTTTTAGTTTATAGATTTCTATAGAAAATTGGAAATCATAGTGGATGGCTCTTTAAAGAAGAAATCAAACCATGGTTCCAAGTTCTAGAAATCAGAATGGGAGACTGGGTGCAGTGGCTCATGCCTGTAACCACAGCACTTTGGGAGGTAGAGGCAAGAGGATTGCCTGAGCCCAGGGGTTCAAGACCAGCCCAGGCAGCTTGGTAAGACCTCGTCTCTACAATAAATTTAAAAATTAGCTGGAGGTGTTGGTGTGTGCCTGTAGTAGTTCCAGCTACTTGGAAGTCTGGGGCAGAAGGGTCGCCTGAGCCTAACAGGTCGAGGCTATGGTGGCTGTGAGGGTAACACTGCACTCCAACCAGGGTAGCAGACTCCAACTCAAAAAAAATAAAAAGAATGGGAAAGCATGTGAGAGAGCATAAGTATTTATCTTTTGCGGACTTATGTGAGTTTGTTTATATTGGACTCGAAGTGTCACTCTGTTTCCCAGGCTGGAGTGCAATGGTATGGTCATGTCTCACTATAGCCTCAACTTCCTGGACTCAGGTGACCTCCTCCACCTTAGCCTCCCCAGTGGCTGAGACTACGGGTCTGTACAATGCCGCCAAGCCTGTCCAATGTTTTAAAAAAAAATTTTGTAGAGATGAGATCTTGCTGTGTTGCCCAGACTAGTCTTGAATTCCTGGACTCAAGCAGTCCTTCCACCTCAGCCTCCCAAAATACTGGCATTATAGATATGAGCTGCCACACCCAGCTTTTTGTCAGATCTAAGTGTACTTTTAGATGTGTGTCTAGTATTCATTGTACGAATATTGTTTATTCTGTTCCACTCTTCCGGTGGTGTCAAATTGCCTCCTTTAAGTTGTTTTTATTCATTGTAAGGATTTGTGTATTATAGGTAGTACAATAAGTACATCAGTTCTTGGAAACATATAGCAGATTCCCAAATTTGTTTCATCCAAAGTCGTTTTGTCGTAAAATTGATGAGAAAAATATTGGTTTTGTTGTGTGTTGTATCACTTAAAGTTTCATGTCAACAGTTTTTTGTTTTGTTTTGTTTTGTTTTAGTTGGAGTCTCACTCTGTCACCCAGGCTGGAGTGCAGTGGCACACTCAGAACCACCACTGCCTCAACCTGCTGGTCTCAGGGGATCCTTCCACCTCAGCCTTCCAAGTAGCTGGAACCACAGGTGCGTGCCACCACACCCAGCTGATTTTTTGATTTATTGTAGAGCTGAGGTCTTGCCAAGTTGCCCAGGTTTGTCTCAAAATCCTGGGCTCAGGCAATCCTCGTGCCTTCACCTCCCAAAGTGCTAGGATAAAGGCTTTAGCCACCGTGCCCAGCTGTCGATAGCATTAAGTAAGAACATGCTGTGTACTACAGAGAGCATCCCGGTGATGCAGGATTGCATAGTTGTTCAAGTTTATCTGCAGGATTGGTTCTCATTGGGATACAGCTGGGTCAGCTTAAGTGTGAACAGTGTAGTTCTCCAAGAGGTTCTGCCTTTTTAAACTATTTGCAGTATTGTGTGCTCCTTTTCCTACATGTCGTTGCCCACAGTGTCACTCATCTTTTACATATTTGCATGTCTGATAGGCTATTTTTGTTGATTTAGATTGGTTATCTTTTAAAAATACTTGTATCTCGCCGGTTCCATGGCTCAGCCTCTAATCCCATGCCTTGGGAGGCCGAAGTGGAAGGATCGCCGGAGTTCCAGTTTGTTGAGGCTGTGGTGGCCGGGAGTGGCCACTGCACTCCAGTCTGGGCGACGGAGTGAGACTCCAACTTAAAAAAAAAATAAATTTATGTCTCCTGCAAATTCTCTGTGTCCTTTGACCAGTTTTCTATCTCATTCTAATTTTATATCTTCATGTTTGTCTTTGCCTTAATGGATTCTGGGCTTTTCAGATATACTTAAGATGGTCTTCTCATTTCATAACTAAAAATATGCTGTGCAATTTTTTTGTAGTTTATTCCTGATAACTTGATCCATTGGAATTTTTGTTTAGGGTTTATGATATAGGGATCTAATTGAATGTGATAGTAAAATTTCTCTTCACAGTTAATTGATTAACTAACTAATGACTCATTATGTCCTTCACCCCTGTGAAATGTCATTTCTATCCTGCATATACATTGAAATGTAATCTCTTTTCTATACTCCTGTCCAGTTTGTCTTACCTTTAATTACACAGTAGATTTTAGTTTGTATTACTTTTAATTTTGTTCATGTGTATGATTTTATCAGTCATGATTATTGCATATTCAAATTTTTATTTTCCTGCCACTTTCATACATT